ATTACATATTGTTTACAGTAGCAAAATTACAGTTATGAAGTAGCAATGAAAATAATTTTATGGTTGGGGGTCACCACCACATGAGGAACGGTATTAAAGGGTCGCTGGCGGCATTGGGAAGGCTGAGAACCACTGCCCTAGAGAAGCAGAGGGAGCCTCAGCAGGGCCGCCCAGCGCGGTCACAGGCGTCCTCACGGGGCCAGGGACAGCGCACCTGCCACTGCGCTTGTGAGGCGGGAGGCAGTGGCCACGGTCCCCACGCAGCCTGCGCAGCAGGTGCCTCCCGCGTGACGGGAGGAAAGCCATGCTGCTCCCAGATCTCCACGCAGCCCGTGCGTCACAGGCGAAGCATCAGACATCCCCGTCCATCCCCTCGGGTGCTGCCTGCGTTCACTCAACAAATATTTACCGGGTCCGACTGGGTGCCAAGCTCGGATCCAGATACTAGAGATGCAGGTGAACGAAAGCAGCTGCGGCCCTTCCCCCTCACAGGCCGCACACGGTGGGAGTGACAAATAAAGCGGGGCGCCTCCATCCCGAGGAGCCGTGAGCGCTGTGAGGGAGACACACGGGCACCGTGGTCTGTGCACAGGCGGTGCTGGGCCTGGAAGGCAGAGGGAGGAGGGTGGCTACAGGGAGAGGGGAGCTGGAGAACCAAAATGTCCCCTCCTTCCACATGTGGGGAGACTGCTAGTCACTGTCCTTTCCTAACTCGGGCCTCCCCCCCCAGCACCTCCCCCCCAAGTTCTCTCTCTGGGAAATCTTACCTTCCCTGGGGCCTCAGCAGACAGCTTCCTGGCAGGCTCCCCACTGTCCTCTGGCGCAGCATCTCTCGTTGCTACACCTGGATGTCTCCTGCAGCCCCAGCAGCCTGAAGCCTCCCCTTCCTCTCCCACAAGACAACTCCGCCCGTCACCCAGTCCCGTCACCCAGTGAAGGCCTCGGGCAAGCCTGGCGCACTAAGCATCGCTCTTCCGCGTGTGCAAGTGAAAAACACTTTGTGAAATGGCATAATCCTTGTGTGGGTGCTAAAGTTCCATGTAACTTGCTTAGAAATGTTCAATTAATTTATCCATCTACACATATTTTTAAACGTCTGTTTGTTGGGGCGGGAGGGTCTGCTTTGCTGGGGCCTCCGCAGACATTTATCAGCTAACGGTCTGATTGGAACCGTCCCCAGGACTGCTCTATGCCTCCAATCTCAATCCCGTCTAGCAGGGGGAGCCGACCTGGGCCCCTGCTTTTCCTTGATCCTCTCTTTCCAATCAGATCCTAGATCCTGTAGAGCAATGGTTCTCAACCTTCCTAATGCCGCGACCCTTTAATACAGTTCCTCATGTTGTGGTGACCCCCAACCATAAAATTATTTTCTTTGCTACTTCATAACTGTAATTTTGCTACTGTTATGAATCGTAATGTAAATATCTGATATGCAGGATATATTTTCATTGTTACAAACTGAACATAATTAAAGCATAGTGATGAATCACAAAAACAATCTGTAATTATATATGTGTTTTCCGATGGTCTTAGGCGACCCCTGTGAAAGGGTCGTTCGACCCCCAAAGGGGTCGCGACCCACAGGTTGAGAACCGCTGCTGTAGAGTCTACTTCTTAAAGCCCTCGCCTCCCTCCTCTTTCCTTCCTACACCCACTGGCCCAGCTGAGGTCATTACAGAAGCACAGAATGCCCAAGACATCCTAGACATCTAATTCCACCCACCTCACTTGGACAGATGTGCTAAAGAGAGACCAGGAAGGACTTCCTCAAGGTCACACAGCTAGTGAATGACAGACCCAGGCACCGCGATGACCCTGCTGACCCTGCTGGTTCCTTGGCCCCGCTCCGTCCATCAGACACACCGGCACACAGAGGCGGGTTTATCCCCCGGGCTGCTCCCACCACGCCCTCCTCTGCTCAGACCCTTCAGGGGCTCCTCACTGACCCCTGAATCAGGTTCAAAGCCCTCAGCGGGCTTCAAGCCTCTCCAGTTTATGGTTCCAACACCTACCATGGCAAACCTGAACCTAACCGCTGATCAAAGTCTCTTCACTGAAATGTCACATCTACCATCAATATAGGTCCTCTTGTCAGTCATGATCTTTGTGAGAACCGCCCCCCGCCGGCCCTGCTGCCCCGTCCTGTCCCACCTGAGGCCCAGGGGCCTGGTGGGAAGCAGCACGGCCGGGATTCACGTGCTCAATCTGCGGATTCTGAGCTGGCTGCACCGCGCCTGCCCCGTGACCTTGGATAAGTTACTTAACCCTGTGCTTCAGAAGGTTGTTAGGACGATTAAATGAGATAATGCCCAATAAAAGTAAGCTAGTGTTGCTACTATTATTACTATCACAATGTGTTAACCATGCTTATTATTGTTTGTGAATACAATGCCTGCCACGGCTTCGATCTGTGATGAACCACAGTGGCACCCAGGCTCCAGCCGCCCCAGCAAAGCTGCAGCCCTGGGGGTACAGCTGACTGATTCTGGTCAGCTGTCTCCCCAACCCTTTTGCCCGTCTCAACTCCAGAAGGCTGGCTTGTGGGGAAAGCCCTGGGGGAGAGGGCGCAGCTGGGGAAGAAAGGAACAAAGAGGAATTTGCGAGGGGGGGTGCAAACCGGCCTGGGCCTGGGCCTGA